CACCTTCAGGTCCCATCCCTCCCCTCATCTTTCCTTTCTTCCTCAGTCCTTCCTTTTTGTTGTTTAACACAGATATAAATGACATTCAACCCCCCTCTCCGTCACACACACTTGTCTGTTCCATGTAGCAGACATGACATTACAGTAAACACACACATACATGTTGTCACACACTAACGTGCAGGATGGCAGCGACGACCTCCTCCCTGCACAACATTTTTTTACCTCTATTTATCAAGTGTCATCTCTGAAAAGGTCAAACCGTCACACGCAGTGTTGTGCTTCAGATTAAACACAACAGTTCCTCCTCCTCCTCCTCCTCCTCCTCCTCCTCCTCCTCCTTCTCCTCCTGTGGTGGTGATGGAGTTGGATTTTTTTTTTCCTGTTTTTTCTTTTTTGACCCATAATTAGGATTCAGCGAGTTTCTCTCTGGTCCATGTAAAGCTCACCTGGCTCCTTCAGCTCAACACCTCCCTCTGGAGGTTTAGAAAAACAATAATGCACTGACATTGTCTGAGTGTGCAGCAAGGTCGGAAACAATGGCCTCGAGGCACAAATGTTATTGAAACATCTAAAATAAATGTCTGGGGAGGGTTTTTCTTTATGTGGTCGTCAAGATGAGTATTAAAAGTTAAGAAAATCTTTTTATTGTTATTCAGTCTCTGATTCTGATGAAATTAAAGCTCAGTACAGCTGAGTGTGTGCCTGCACTGCATTGTAATGTGTGTGTGTGTGCACGTGCGCGCTCTTGGCCGTGCCTGTGGCTGTGACAGATGACATGTGACAAGTGTGTGGAGTCAGCTCTTTGGTGAGGACCCGGCGGGGTTGGAAGATGTCCTTGTCCCTTTATATTTTACAGCGTATCTTTTTTCCTCCCCTCCTCTGCTGCGGCCGCTCGTACAGTCTTACGGTGATGGATTGGCAGTTTGACTTTGAAACTACATAAAAACATCCCCTCCCTTTAGCACAGCGGCACGGTGACACTGGGGTTGTTACAGCAGCGGCAGCCTGGATGAGATATGTGCCCGGTGTGGCTGTAAAGTCAAAGGAAAACAAGGATGTGACGCCGTTTTGTTTCCATAATTCAGATCAATTGCAGATAAAAACTCGCAGGAGCCAAGAGAGCGTGAGCGAGAAGCGTTCGGACGTGCGGTGTAGATGGAGCTGACAGTGTTCATTTGTGCGGTGTCAGATTTTCTGGTTTTCCAAAGAAGGAGCCACTGAGATGCAACACTGCAGCTGAGTCCACTCTATCTAGGCCAGGAGGAGCTGGTGGAGCTGGTATTTATAGACTGGCAATGTTGAGAAATATATGACTTTTTATATTTTGGTTGGGATTTTAAAAACTTGTCCTGTCATTTTATTTATTAAGGATAAATATTTGAGGCAAATAAGAGCGGGAAAAGTAGTCCTAAGTTAGCAAAAAGGCTACACAAACCCAAAATGTATCAAAACAAAAAAAAAAAAAGGAAAAAGAAAAGAAAAGAAGTTGTGTACACACACATTTGGAAAAGTAGCATCAGTAAATAGGTAGAGTGAGCTACTGCTATCTATTATTGAACTGTTGATCATGTTATAGCTTATAAATCATCAAAATGTTTCGGGCTAGCCAAACCACTGCTAAACACATTCAGAAGTTTTAAGTTACATATCCCAAAATGCAGTAGTAGATTAGTTCAAATCTAAACAAGCTACATTTTCAGTGTAGAACGGACTTTTGGCTGATGTCATGTGGGACCAGCAGTAGAGGAGTGATAAATGAAGTGCTCACATAGATCTGTCTGATACAGAGTCCAATGCTTTCTGTGTTTCGTGACCACGCTGACCAAACAGCAGCGTCGTCATGGAGATTCCCTGAAGGATAAGCATGAGCAAACACTCTGGTGCGATGATTCATGGTGCCGGTGGAGCCATAAAGACATCCACAAGTAAACCTCACATAGTCCCGCTACATTAGCTTCCCATAAGGGAAAAGAATGCACAAGAAGTCACTCTGTTCGTACATTCCAGCTCCTATATATATGCGACACACAAACGCCTCTCAGTGAAGGTGTGTTTGTGGAACTAGTTGACTCTCACAGCTGGTTAAAATGATCGATGCAGAGTCAGTGTGGGAGCCTGACATCTCTGCAGGTGCTTGATGTCAGTGTTTTTCATATTAAAATCATGTTCATATTAAAAACCCAAACAAAAACAACAGACTCAAGGAAGAATTTGTCAAAAACATGGGAAGAGAAAACATACCCAAAAAGTACCTTATGGTTGAGCTGAAAGAACAGGTAATAACGGGCTAAACACGTATTAAAATTGAGTTTTGCAATTGTGTGAATTTGACACAGTATAAATTGTATGAAGTCTAATTACGATGTGGAAATAGAATTGGAGATCCTGAGTGCGTGCTTTTGTCGTCGAACTTTCTCTGTGTGTGTGACTCGGCTGGAGATGTGGCTGCACTGACTGAATACCAGCCAGGAAACAGGAAGCCGGAATAATTACCGTGATCCACATCCAATTGAAATGTCAATAAAGTTATTTAGAGCCCGGCGTGACGCAGCAGCAGCAGCAGCAGCAGCAGCAGCAGCAGCAGCAGCAGCACCACTGTCGTTGTCAGTGCCACCACCTCAGAGAGGGAAACAGTCATCAGCTGCAGGAAGACAAGGCCAGGCAGGAGGAGCCCCATGCTAACGTCTGTGACTGTTTCAGCAGATATGTTTGGGTCAGGAGCGGGCAGCAGGGTAGGAAGTGCCACCACCAACCGTCCACTTCCACACCAGACTGTGTGGGAGAATTAACTTTTTGAAATATTTATGCCACCACCGAGGATTAAGGCAGAAAGATGAAAAGACATTCTTTAAACTTATTAAAGGATCTGTTGTTATTTTCACTCACACCAACTTTCATCAGTAACATTAACAAGAATAACAAACCTCCCTCCGCCCACGTGTGTGTAAAAGTCAAAGTCTTACAGCTCAGTGTGAGAGATAAAGGTAGAGAGGACCAGGCCATGGTGGCGCCGTCTCAGTGTACAGTCATCATATTCATCACCATCTCCATCTGCAGCAGCAGGTCAGATGATCTGAGTGTGTCCACACTGACCTCGGACCCTGGCTGTAAACACGTAGTTTACACTGGGCGGCCACTAGACAGATACTTGGCTCAGCTTCCTCCTCTGAAGGGGGTCCCAGTGGCCGCCGGGGCCACGGAGGTCTGGAGCGGCAAACTCACAGCAGCATGAGAAGATGAAGGTAAAGAGAAGGAGAAAGCTGCATCTGGAAAACTCTACCTGTACAAACGTCCGTGTTTGTATTGTCAGCAGGATACGGAGAGAATGTCAGAGGAATTTCCTTCACACCTGGTTCTCGCATCAAGTCAGGAAGAAACATCCACCAAACTGAAAATATTAAAAATACATATATACGCTGATCAGTTTGAAGTTTCTTTAAGTAGAGTGGAGGTATCTGAGCTTCAAACGCCCACGCAGCAGCAGGAGCTCAGCTGAAAACTACGACTGCTGTGTCTTTGACGTAAAAACTTCTCATCCACTCCAGGACGTGGCTGCAGCTGCAGCCGTGTGAAGGATTTCACTTGAGTTTAGACAGCAAAAAAATAATTATTATCAATACATGAATAACTGCATTAATATCACATTTTCATATATTTCTTGAATTATATTTCTATACCATTTCTATACCATTTTCCATCCCTAGGTTACTGTTGTAACCTAGTTCTGGAAAATACTAGAGCTGCAGTACTTGGTATGGCCTGTGGACGATTGAAAACCTTAATCAGCAGCTCTGAAATGACCTTAGCTGAAGCCTCGTTTAATAGCAGGTCTGGATGTGGCCTCAAAGAGCTGCAAAACAGGAGGAAATGGAGGGACATGTCAGCTGAATGTGTTTTCTGGTCTGTGTGTGTGTTGGCTTAGTTAATGACTGGTGCAAATGTCAGACACACAGCTGTGGAGCCACAGTCAGGCGACCAGCTGAGAGAGAGGGGGAGAGAGAGGGGAAAATGCTTTAAGCTGTGGATGCAAAGAAGAAATGTAAAGAAAATTGTTCACTAAGAGGAGAAAACAGAGGAGACGAGACAGAGGACTTGGTCGTCCAGAGAGAAGAGAGAGAGAAAAAAGAAAGTTGCCAACATAGTTTCCATTCTTCTAGTCCTATTTGTTAGAGAAAAGACAGGGGCTGAGGTCCAAACCCCAACACGCTGCTGCTTTTCCAGGAAAGTATTTACTGTTGTCAATAATAAAGAAGCAAAGAATTCAGCTGTGAAAAAGAAAAATGAGTCAAATTTGCAGCTGGGCCCTATAGAAGGCTGTGATGATGATGAGCGACTGCACTGCTCTCCAAAGGCATTTACATATTTGAACAGCTGGCATCCTTTCATGCAGTCCCTTCACTTCCACTTCCACTCTTTGAGTTTTTACCTTTTTACCCCGGGCCGTCCTGTCTGAGCAGCACCGTTCCTGGTTCCATCTGATTTGGGACTTAAGCCTGAGAAAGCCTCCTTCCCCTGCAGTAAGAGCTCTGAGACAGAATGTGTCTGAGAAGCAGTTTTTGAGGGACGAGTAGCAGAAATAGGTTTGGATCAACAACAGGAGTGGAGGCTTCAGGAGGGGGGACTCTGACCCCCAGCTGACCTCGTCGATCAGGTGTTGAACACCTTCTGCATGGGTTTCTGAGATGGCCACGAGCCAGGGAAGTAGAAAATGGTTCTAATAAGACTATAATAGACACAGTAACGTCACCTGAAGATTTATAACTATTTAAAGGTGTAAAATGGATTGTACCGATTGACAAGACAAGGTTTTTAATTTAAATATATTTGAAGTATTTGAAGTATTATTCATTTTCTATATTTTTTTTTTCTTATTTTCACCTGATCAAGCTGATATCTGTGGTCAACCCATAGCAGATGGTGAAACCTTTAGCCTCGTCTCTGTGTTGCTGCTCCTAACCTTTGTTTGTAACCCTTCTCTTTTCTTGTGCCCCCTGCAGGCAGACCCGGGAGCAGGAAACCCCTCCAGACTTCTTCTACTTCTCCGACTTTGAACGACACAATGCTGAGATTGCTGCCTTCCATCTGGACAAGTAGGTGAACATAAGCCTGACCACAGGGATACTGTACTCTACTGTACTGTACTGCACTGTATCATACTGCACTGTACTGTACTGTACTGTATCATACTGCACTGTACTGTACTGTACTGTACTGCTTTGCATTTGCATTATGTTCCCGAGCCACATGTTGCTCTTTAGCCTTTCTATATATCGTCTAGATCGCAGATATTTCTGTCATGTTTGTGAGCGGGCCAAATGTGCGGCTCTTTCTCTCAACAAAAAAATCAGACAGAGACTGGAATGTAGGAAATGACAATTTTTCCAAAATTTTAACTTGCTTTTTTAGGGCAAAGGATGATCATATCATGGCCCTCAGTAAACAGTACAGTCTTTATTTGTACTAATTTTGAAGAATAGAAACAGTGGTATTGGTGAACTGTATTTGACTGTAAAGTGATTAAAAAACAGCTCCTCTGGTGGTGGGTGTTGCACTAGATAAAGGTAAGTTGGTATCAAATGAGGTTTAATGGGAACACTTTAACACACACACACACACACACACACACACACACTCTGGAGTGCTTCTCGTTCTACAAAATATTGTTGAAACTTCCCTAACTAGGCTAAATGAAATAATGGGAGGTAAAAATGAAATGATTGTACCTCTCAGTATCCTGCGGGGGTTCCTTCCTGCCTAATTGCTAATTTGATTCTTTCACATGTCGGCTCATTAACACCGCAGGAGGAACACAAAGTCCTGGAAACTGGAACGACCCAAAAAATGAGGACTTTTGATTTAGACCCAGATCTTGGGACGTGTATTTCTGACGTCCTCTGACGTCCTGCCGTGTTTCTTATTCCGTGTGTAAACACATTCTCTCCACACTGCTTCATAACAGCGTCTTCTGTCTGTTGAATTTTCCTTTCTTACCAAAGGTCAACTCAGGCTTTCCACTGGTGCCTTGCTCATCAACCAGCTGGTCAGCCAGCAGCTGCTCACCCAGATCATTTGGAATAAATCCACGTGTTTAGTTTGGTTCAGTATGTGGACAGTTTGGTTCAGTATGTGGACAGTTTGGTTCAGTTTGTTGAGGATTTTGTTGATCCGTCTTCATGGATGGTGTTTGACATTCACAGCCTTGTGTCTGTTTCAGACGCGGTGAAAACAAAAAGAGTGTTTCCTGCAGAGCCGCTCTCTCTCTGAGACTCCGTGACTCACAGAGAATGAATGTTTCCCGCCCGCAGCTCTCATCTGACTGAACAATGAGCGCTGCCTGCGTGCTCAGCAGTACATCAACACCACCACCACCACCACCACCCTCCCTGACTTCACTGCCTTTACAAGGCTAACACTTTACGGCTGGCCTGCCTTCCTCTCTGCCTGCTGGAGACACTTAAATAAAAGGAGAAAACCTCACAACCCTCTCTGAGCAGAGAGGGAGAGAGGGTGAGGGAGATGAGGTTTTATTTTTTTTGTGGCGGCATTTGCTATTAAAGTCAAAGTGACGCCGCTCCGGCTGAGTGTAATTGTGAGCAGAGGGATTGTGTTGTAGTGGTGTGAACACCAGAGACACCAGATGATGCTTAAGACACACACACACACACACACACACACACACACACACACACGATGGGTCCACAGAGGCCAGTGATGTTGAATCTGCTTTTGCTTGAGGCTCAATGACACAGTTGAGCAGCAATTGCATTAGCAGCAGCTTTGTGTACACCAGTCTGCAACACATCTGGTGCTCACACACACACACACATACTGTATGAAAATGTGCTGGCTCTCCATGCATATGTGTGTGTGGGGGTAAGGCAAAGAGGAGGAAAACCAAAGGCATGAAAGGCTCGGTGCCCGGGCTAAATATAAGCCAGGCAGGGGTTTGCCAAAAGGAGTGCTTTATTTTTTTCCCCTCCTTATTTTGTCTGTTCCAAATTAAAGAGCTGCTGCTGCTGCTGCTGCTGGAGGTAGTGATAGTGGTGGTGCTACAGCAGGTCCCAGGAGGCCACAGACACACACGGCCTTTTCCAAAGCCACTAGCGTGTGCACAAAACGCCATGCAAAGAGACACACAACAGGCCTTTATAATAGGACTGCACTGAGGTTTGAACAGTATCAAAGCGTCGCGGCGTCAGCCGCTAGGACGCCGTGTCACTGTAACATAGTCGTCTTCACAGTACGGTAAGAAAGAATAAAAATGTTGATTGATGGAACAGAGAATAGCGTTACAAAAATGACGTGCAGCAGGTTAGGGTGCTAAAGAATGGAATGGGAATATTGGAGTTGGATTTCCTCACAGATGCACAGATCTGAGAAAATGTCCAGTTTGTAGGCAGCAGTCTGTGCTGTGGTCGGGAGAGAGGGTGTTGTTACAAAAGTTGAAAAAAAGTTTCTGCTGTTTTTGTGGCCAAAAAAGGGGCATTATACTGAGGTGCTGTGTGGTGAAGCCAGAAGTGGAATAAAAGTACTTGAGGGGACAGAGTGGTGATTGGTATTTTAAATAAAAAGTTCACCTATAAATTCCAATAGGAAAAAGACCACATGGTCTTGAATAAAAATCCCTGAATGTTTGCTGAATTATTTTTATTTTACAAATTCTACAAAACACTTTTATTTGTATCATCTTGTCAGGTTTCATCCAACTTCATCAAATCCTGTCAAGTGAGTCTGAGTTTTCCCACAGTTCCAAAATGTAACACCGTTTTTTAAAAGGACAGTTTTATAGAAGTGTCTCCTACCTGGACCTGTCCCCTAACTCATCCTCCGTCCTCCTCCCTGTGAGACACAACAGAACCAATGGTGTTTGACAATAGTGTTTCCTCCTCCTCCTCCTCCTCCTCCTCAGTGGTTGTCTTCCTCTCTGCCTCCATCTTTATTCTGAGCCTGTCTCCCTGTGTGTCTCTGCCCTCAGGCTCTTGCCCATTAGCCGTTGTCAGAGAGATCAATTTTTAAAGAACCCAGGCTGACGTTGGAGCAGATCTGTAGGACTGACCACAGGAGGCCACACGTGCACAGAACAGGCCGTTGTCACGCACATACGAAGACTAACTGCCTTCATGTCATCAATTCTATCTGCTCACTGTTTGTACGGATCGATGTGGAAGTGATGAAATATTTATCTGACGTTCTAGGCCTGAAACAGTGAAGTAGGAAAATGAATTCTTAGACAGAATTCTTTGCAGGAGTTAAATGTGTTTCTTATCTGAAATCAAAGTCAGATACAAACCTCTGAGCTTCAACCCACAAACATCACTGCTAATGTCACAGTGCCCCCTGTTGGCTGTGACAGGGAGAAAGAAAGTCCTGTGCTGACTTTTTTATTGCAGTTAAAGAAACCCAGAAAATAAATATAATTGTTTTGTTTTTAGTTATTATAAAACTCATTCATGAATAACAAAAAAAAACACTTTCCTCTATTTATTAGATTTGTAAAACACAATTAATTTATTTAATATATTACTATAATTATACCTTTTTACTTGTGATGTGATTTTTTATTCTCAGTGTTTTGATTGTATGACTGATGATTTTGTCACTAAATCTAATAAATCTTTTCTTTTTTGTTGCTACATAATTTAGTATTTAGTTGTTATAATTAACTTAAAATTAAGAATTGAATAAGGTTATAATCAATCATTTTAAAGTGTCATAATCAACTGGATTTTTTTATATTTATAAGAAAAAAAAGAAAGAAAAGAAAAGAAAAATCCTCAGTTCATCAGTTCAGTTTCCCAGAGAACTTCATTGTTCCAGACACTTCTGGAGAGAGTCTGAGAAACGGAGTGTTTCTCTGACATCTGTTTATTCAGCCAGTAATAACAGTCGGTCTAAACTGGAACATGGGAGACTTTAGTTCAGCAGTGACATGTGGAGCTAATTACACTGACTGGTTTCCCCATCAGTCACAGCCACTCAGCAGTGACAGGTGACGAGACTGGACAAGAACTAACCACCAGTTTTCTCCTCTGAGACCCTGAGAACCTAAATTTCACTTTCACTCCCAGCCCAGCAGGTGGCCCTCTTCAGAGTCTGAAACCATCTTGTTTGTCACTGACTTGTGCTCTCATGTCTCCACTTTGTAGGATCCTGGACTTTCGCCGAGTCCCTCCTGTTGCTGGTAGACTTGTCAACATGACCAAAGAGATCAGAGATGTCACCAGAGACAAGAAGCTGTGGAGGACCTTCTTTATTTCACCAGGTACCACACACATGGTTTTACAGGTCGAGTTCGAGTCAGGGTCCAGGGTTTTGAATTACCCAAACACCAGTCCAGTCTGTAAAACACAAAGGTTAGGTCTGGGACTGTTAAATCAGGTCAGTACCAAGTCCTCAGAACAAGAACCCTCTTGTCTCATAGTTGACAAGAGACAACTATGAGACAAGAGGGTTCTTGTTCACATCTAAGGTCTAGTCCAAGTTAAATCCCCAGTGGTTCAAATCCTGGTCAGGTCAGACTTTAGAGAGAGAATTCAGTGTTTTCTCACTCTTTGAGTCCAGGTCTAAGTATAGTCCAGTCCAGGTGTTTAAGTCCACACGTCTTCAGTAGTCTAGTCCAAGTCAACTGATGCTTTAAAGGGACTTAAGTCCCATGTCCTCTCAGGTCAAGTCTAGAGTCCAGTCCCATGTTCTCTCAGGTCAAGTCTAGAGTCCAGGCCCATGTCCTCTCAGGTCATTTGTTGTGAGTGTTATTTGGATCTGAGTCCTGACCTGGAGAACATCAACAGGTCCAGAGTTGCTGCTCTTCCCAAAGACCATTCCACATGAGAACCACCGTTAAAAGTGAGACAGATTTTGCTTACGACACTAAAAGAATGTCTCTGTTTCCTGGATCAGGAAAATAATAAGATCTATAATAAGATCCCAGCAAAAATAAAAAGCTCTTCCGCCCGTTATGAAGCAGAGCTGCAGTTCTGGGATCTTCATTAGTCCTGGACCGGTATCATCAGGAGACTTCAGCTCATAGAAAAGCACCACACTTAATTAGCCATGCAACGTCTGACTTTTTATGTGATTATTTTTTCTGGTGCACAGTGAAACTTCCCACAGGATCAGTGTTAGAGACAGTTCCTCAGATGAACGTCTGAATAAACCTGCTGTGCTTCACTGGGAGCAAGAAAGGAACTGAGTCACATTAAAATATGCAGCGTAGTATAGAGAATACTCTGTATACACTATAGGCATATGGAGTACATAGGAGTAAATGTCCCCGAGGGCCAACGGCTCCTCCTGTGGTTCTTCGTAATAACACACCCTATAATTAAATACCTTTCATAACATTGCATTTTTGCACATTTATCTAGTGCAGAGTACCTTCTTCTGCTGAAGTAATACTGTGAGTAATACATCAGTACAATGTGGATTTATACAGGTAAAATCTCAGAGAGCAAAAAATGTTAGCTAAAATAGATTAAAGTTAGCCAAACAGGCTACATATTTATTACAATATGTCCACTTCATTACCATTTATCTGTGTGTGTGTGTCCCTCAGCCAACAACGTGTGTTTCTACGGCGAATGTTCCTATTACTGCTCCACTGAACACGCTCTGTGTGGAAAACCCGACCAGATCGAAGGATCTCTGGCTGCTTTCCTCCCTGACTTGGCTCTGGCCAAACGCAAAACCTGGAGGAACCCGTGGAGGCGCTCTTACCACAAACGCAAGAAGGCTGAGTAAGAAAACGGAGAACCGTTCTGTTTTGGTCCTGATGTTTCTGACAATGTAGTTCTACTTCACGTCAGCAGGTGGCCTCCATCCAAACTGAGTTACCTCCATAAACAGTGCACCAGTCACAGCATTGACAGATGGAGGGGAAACAAACACAGCGTCTGTTTTTATTACTACAACAAGAATACCTACAAAATAAGAAGGCCATCGTGTCCAACCCAACTGTCAAATAAATCTGGCCTTTATTTTAGCTTAAATGTGGCAACTACATGTTACCTTCTAATTATCATCATTATTATTTATATAATTATTGTGGCAACTACATGTTACCTTCTAATTAGCATTTAAACATCATTTATTGTCTTTCAGTAATTTTTGAGACACTGCTCCAGTAGCTAAGCAGCTAAGAGCCTTTTACCATCTGGACTGTGGTTACAGTAGGCTTATCTTAGCTAATGTGAACTAATGTTTTTGACATGTTGGGGAAACAGTCTCAGACTGGTGTTCGTCTGAACATGAATGTGTCCATAAATCTTTACAAATGTAAAGCCTCTGTCTGCTGACTCTGCAGATGGGAGGTGGACCCAGATTATTGTGAGGAGGTCAAACAAACTCCACCCTACGACAGTGGCAGAAGACTTCTGGACATCATGGACATGACCATCTTTGACTTCCTCATGGGTGTGTTAGCAACACCACAGATCACAGCTAAACCATGCCCAGCATCATGTGACCAAGTTTAATTTGAATTTTTATTTCCCTCCTCAGGGAACATGGATCGTCACCATTATGAGACGTTTGAAAAGTTTGGAAACGAGACGTTCATCATCCACCTGGACAACGGCCGAGGGTAAAACACACACACACACATTATACATTGACTGTTCTAATGTATAAGTTCACATCAGACAAAAAGGAAAAAATATCAAATTAAAAAAAAGTTTATATTTAATTCTAACTTTCTTTTAATTTATATTAATGTGAGAAATTCCATAGCATAAATATAAATATATGTATATATAAAATAATAGCATAAATATATATATGAATATGGATTTTATGTTGATGTGTTTTTATCTTCTTTTATTTGTGTGTTTTATATATATTTATTTTATTCTTTCTGTTTATGTGGGTTTTTTAATTTTCATCTTTTTTTTTCTTTCCTTTATTTTAGTTTAAAGCTCAGATGTTTGGTAGGGAGGGTTCATTAAAAAAAAAGTCTTGTTGAATAATCCTTTTTTTTTATCTTAGTTTTGGGAAGCATTCCCATGATGAGCTGTCCATTCTGGTTCCACTGACCCAGTGCTGCAGGTATGGACGTCTCCTCTCTGGTTTCAGGTGGAACAAATGATCAGATTAAAACTTTCAGATTTCAGTTGTTACATCTGCAGATGGATCTTTTGTCCAGCCCTCGCCCCCTATCTTAAACACTATAATTCCCACAACACTGCTATTCTCACTGAACAAAGAAAAAAGTAAATTTTTACCATTCCCACTGCAGGTTTGAATCCCAGCTGCTGTTAGAGAGTCATTTACTGTAGTTGATGATTAGACTACTGGAAAAATAAATCTCCTCCTCGCGCCTCCTCGCACTATATCTACACACCCCTAGAGGGCACCACCTGACTTTCTGATTCTTTGGTCCAAGTGAACACAGCAGAACATCTGTCATCACCTTCTCCACCTTTTCACTCTGTGTCCAGGGTCAGAAAGTCCACCCACCTGCGTCTGCAGCTTCTGGCCAAAGAAGAATATCAACTGTCCAGTCTGATGGCCGAGTCTCTGGTCAGAGACCGCCTCAGTCCCATCCTAATCCAGCCTCATCTGGACGCCATGGACCGACGTCTGCGACAGGTGTGGATTTTACGTTTTTGTATGAATGTGTCTGTTTGACGGCTGAGCTTTTTAACTCGGTTTAAAAGCAGTTCCTTAAATCTGAATCTTGATCTGAGTCTGGTTCTAACAGCAGCCTGTTGTTCTCCTGCAGGTCCTGAAGGTGGTGTCAGGGTGCATTGAAAAGGAAGGATACAGTTACGTGGTGGAGGACGACCTCCAGCCGGACCACGGTCACAGCGGGCCACGACGGAGGTAGCTGTCCGTGGAGGGTCTCCGGCAGCCGGCCACATGAGAATTCCCTGGAGCCAGAAGACTGGACTGAGCAGTGTCCAGTCTGTGGAACTCTTAAACCTCCTCACATGGAGTCATGTTGGGACAAACCCGAGAACCTGAGGTGAACGCTGCCTGGACGTAGAGACCTGCTGGACCTGACTGGACCTAATGGACACGAACCTGCAGAGACAAACAGGTGATGTTGGACAGATCTGGACCACCTTCACACCACCATCATCATCATCTTCATCACCTGGACTGTGTAGAACCCTCTGATGGCAGACAGTAGTGTAGGATAGACGGATGACCTCTGACCTGCCACAGCACACGTCTCACACTGAGACCCTTTCTCTGTCCTTATTTCTTTCTTCTCTGTCTTCTTCTTTAAGGACGTGTTTATTTCTTTCAGTTTGTGGATTCGGAGGGACATCTGGAGAATTTTCCTGACGACAAACTCACTTCTGTGTGTAGCGTTGGTAAAAGTGGTTCAGCCGAAAAGAAAGAAGAAACCGACTTCCTGTTGTCCAGACTGACGTTTTGTTGCTTTGTTCTTTTTTATATAAATATTATGTGTCACTGAGTTGTGTTCAGCTCGTATCACGGCTATTCCAGATGAAAATATTTTAGATTGGAGTGCAGGTTTACTCCTGGATTTATTTGTCAAAACCTTTGTTCTTGTCCAGTAAATGACCTCTAAAGATTATTTATTGAAATAAAAAAAAACATATATTTATTGTTTCACATGAAAACTAACATTACTTCACCTTTTCTTTTAAAAAGATCCATGAGAGAATAGCACTTCAGAATCTAACCACCAGAGGGCAAATTGAGCATACTGGAAAACAGCAGTCGCACTCGAACGTTTAAACTGGGGCCTGTTTTTTTTTTCTTTAACTATTTTTAGTTTTGATTAACATTGTCTTCATTGTTTTTTTAATGACATGTTTTTATATTATTTTATGTTTTTATGTTCTTGATAAAGAGTTGCACTTCTGAAATTAGTCTCTGGAAGAAAAACCAAATATTTTCTTTTTTTTACTTTTATTCCTTCATCTCACTTTTCTGTTACAAGAGCCTTTGGGTTGACATGACACAGCTGCTGTTTTAAAACCAGAGGGCAGACAAAGGTTTGCTTATTTGTATCTTTTTGTCTTTTCGATTTATTTTTGTTGCTTTTTATTATATTTCCATCCTTCCATATCCAAAAAGAAGCTGACAAATGAGATGCACTTACAAAATTGACCACAGGAGGGCACAGATGGACATAGAAATCCAGGTAGATCCCTCGTTAAACATGATTTACTTGTTATTTAATATGTTTTTAGTTTTTTTTCTGTGATGTATTTAGTTTTCCTTCATTTATTTATTTTTACTTTTACAAGTATCATTCCAGTTGACATCATAGAATTATACGTTTTTTGCACAGGAGGTCAAAGCAGTTGTTGAAAGCATCTGTGCATTTTTAAGGTTCAAGTTTTAAAAAGAAAATAATCAGTTTTATCTCTAATTTAATAACTCTAATTTAATATCTCTAATTTGTCTTTGATATTTATTTACCAACATTCAGCCCAATTCTTTTTTGTTCAGTATAACAGTTTAGTATCATAAGACCAGGAGCAAAATGTGACATAATTTTTATGTGTTTTAATTTTTTTATCTGTAACGTATTTGATGTGCATGTGTTGCTGTTGCGTAAAAAATGTATTTTTTAATTATTTTATATTTCTTTCTTATTTTCAAGATGTAAATTTCATTGGTCGACATTAACAACAAAGAGCCGTGGGCTGATGTGTCGGTGTTTAAGGCTCTACAGGCTGAAAAAAATTAATATATACAGTAGGAAATTAAAAAAACAAAAAACAAATCTAGTGCCTGTGCAATGATAGAAATACTTGAATGTTTGGATTCCAGATACAAGGCAGAGACACATTGTAAAGAGTGAGTGAGTGAGTGAGTGAGTGAGTGAGTGAGTGGGATAGATTCCAGTCCAGTGTCAGTTGGTACGGCTCATGTGGACGTGTGGTCCACGGAGGACGTGTTAGATGATGATGATGATGGTGATGATGATGATGACATAAACCATGTGTTCCTAAAGTGAATACACTTCTCTTTTTTCAAATCATCTCATCATTTCTGTGGATTTTATTGTTTGTTCCTTTGCATCATGGTTAAAAGTGCAATAAAAGGAAATAAGCAGTACGTCAGACTGTTGCTGCCCTGTTTGACATCCTACAACATACAAAGGTCAAATGTACATTTCAGTGCATGTGTACACCGCATGTTTCCTGTGGAAGAAACAGTGTTGGAGACAATCATCTGCGGGACATGTTGTCCAGTGCTGTAATCACACAGAACTGCTGCAGACAGGACACCAGAGGAAGACGTTTGTCATGGGAGTGAACTTTTATCAGCTCTCACTGCAGACCTCCGGCCTTACAGACTCCTCTTCATCTCCATCTTTATTTCCTGTGTTACAGTTCAGTGCCAGAGCGGCTGCGTTGCTACATTCACATCTGGCAATGACATATATTGAACAGGGAATATATAAGATGCTATTTAACCATGGCATTTATAATAATGAAAAATTTACGAAAAAATATATAACTATGTTTACTTTATGCTTTGTTGAAAATTCAAAGAAAATAACTTTAATTTTCTGGTATTTAATAAACAGTCCCAAAGGAGGTGGGATTGGCAGTCTGCCAGTAGTCCTAGAACCTCTGCATTAGTACATTATTTAATGGGCGGGAATAAGCGATTACGTTTTTTAATGGTTTTCTACGCATAGCACACAAATCCGACATGAATGACACCTGCCACTTATTCATGGTGCAGTTAATTGTTTCAGCCAATAGAGGGCGTAAAAACGATTCGCCCTCTACTGGCCTAAAGCTGGCTGTGACTAAAAATAAAACTCAAAACTTTGTTTTTTTTCTTCTTTTTTTAACGCGACGGTTTTTAATAATTATTTTCAATAACAAGAGGCCCGGATTTTGTTGAAGTCAGTTTCTGCAAAAGGTTTTTTTTTTTTTTCAATAAATGCAATTAAAAGATAATAAAAGAACTCAAAAGTAAAATGTGCCCTAACTCTTTAGGACATTCGTCAGGACTTTTTGCATTGATGCATTTTTTTTTATTATTAAGTGTGTTAATAAGTTAGAAATCACAGCACCAACAGACGAAGGACCCCAGTCTACCTCAGGTTCAAGTTTGATCTTGGTTCCCTGTGTGTGTCAAGATGGTGATATTTTGGATGTAAATTTAAAAGAGCAAGATGGTGATATTTTGGATGTAAATTCTGAGAGAAAAATACCTGGTGTGAGCATGTGGGCCACGGATTTAAAATGTAAATATAGATCTACACAAAGTCTTCACATTTTCACAACGTCGTTTACGTTTTGCGTCATCATTAATTACGTGCGACGTCACCACAAGATACAACATAGGTTGATTGGTTGTATAAAGTCACATGACCATTAGGTGTGAGAGCAGAACCTGTGCAAACATGACCGGTAAGGTTTTTTTATTATTATTATTAATCGTTTAAAAGTTTTAAAATACGACAACTACTGTCCGTATGTCGACACGGTGCAGTTCACAAACCCCGCCCACAACTGCGGCTTTTGTCTACCCACAAAACCTCTAGTTTGTGTAAAGCTAACGTTGCTAATCGAACGTTTCCCGTTAATACTGTGGCAACGTAAATAACTTTATTATTATTTACAGGCTGTAGATATCACTGTTAATATTACTGAAATAAGTAGGTCAACAAACAATTGTTAATATTACTGAAATAAGTAGGTCATCAAACAACTGTTTTCCGACTGGATGGAGGAAACTGCAACGGCTCGTTAAGTTGTTACGTAGTATGACAACACCACCTAGCTGTCAGCCTTGGAAGCACATCTAAGTCAATGTTCGTTTTCTCTATTAATTATCAACTTTGAACTGACTTACACGTAGATGCATATATCGACATATTTGATCGTCAAAACATAAATGAATAAATAAAATAAGTACAATTCACGTCAATTAATTTAATCAATTTAATTATTCAACTGAAGATTTAAAACACTTGGTTTAGGTAAAATATTTGATAGGTACTCTAATAAACTAAGTACTCTAATTATTATGAATGTATTTGTTGACTGCATAGACTCTGTTGTACTTTAGTACTTTAGTATTTATATTTATGATAAAGCAGTTTCTGTGGAGGTATTTTCTAGTCCTTGTGTCCATGTCTAGTCTTTAATTCTTCAGAAAACAGGATGAACCTCACAGGTCTTTCCTCCTGTCCTCTTCATGGACTGACCAGGTATGTCCACATGTCCAGGATGTAGCAGCAGCAGCTGTGTTTCAGCAGAACTGGTCGTTTCTCTCTCTTTACTGTTTGTCTTTACCTGTAACATAAAGGGAAATGTAGAAACTTACTGACATTTTCCAAAAAATGTGACAAAGTGAACAGTTGAATTTATCAGTGGGAACTTCAAATTAAGACATACATGTAGATTGCACATTTTAATCCTGTAACACCACAAAGTCCCAGCATGCTTCAGTGAAGAGGTTTCTGTGCTGGTGTTATTAACCTTTGTTGGAAACAAACTTGAGGGAGTGACTGAATATTCAGAACCGTGAGACTCCTTCTTCTGGCCCGTCATTTATAAACTCGTGACCCAGACCGTTTCCACATTTCCCACATAGAACCTGAAGAAGAAAACAAAGTATTTTAAAAAAGAATCCTGTGAGATTCTCCGGGGTTGACACCAAGACTGTTCAACATTGATCAGTGTGACGTCAACTGCTGAGAGACATCGACGTGTGAGCAGTAAAAACAGAGAAGGAGGAACAGAGTTTGAGGTTAGGGTCTGTGTGACCTTGAAGGCAGTGAGTGTCTCCATCATCTTAGTGACACTGTCCTGTCTGATGGTCTCGGTGAAGGCCGGCCACGGAGACGAGTGGACGAACTTGGATCGACTGGAGAACAGAGGGTGGCTGCACTGGGAGCAGACGTAGATACCTGTGTAAGAAGAACAGTATCACTATTATGAACAAATAATGTCAACAGTATATGAGGAAACAATACAATGCTATTATTCTGCTTTATTACAGTAATGACTGTAAAACAAATGACAATATAACAAATACTGACACTGAGTGTACAGATGAACCTAAAATTACACAGATTACTGCACAAATACTGACTATCGTGTACGAATACCAACGACGAAAGTGTATTTTACTGCAACGGCGTTTCTCACATGTAAAACTGAATATTTTTAAAATCTGGAAACGCAAACAAACGGTAACATACAGACGTTTTAGCTCACTGATGACATCACATCCGCCTTAGCTTCTCACCTGGTTTAAAATGATCTTTGTAGAGTTCACCTCCGGAGAAGCGACAGAAAGACATTTCACCGTCGTTTCTGTAATGTATGTTTAATCTAAAATGATCTAGTTTCTTCTGGTTTGGCAGATTATTTCTACTGCTTCTTCTGCTCGTCTGTGATGCTAAAAATGGTGACGGAATCCTGTTTGTTGGGATTTAAAGACTACGCCTACTGCAATGACAAGAAGCGACGCTAGAGGTCAGTGTTTCATCAGGAATACCATTGATGTACGATATAGTAATTGGTAATCCAGATTAATGATATTTCTGTTAAGAAATCGTAAATTATTTCAAATAATTTTATTAACCGTGAAGGTCATATATATCATTTGACTTTAATGTCACTTTTCTGTTCTACCTAAACTCATAAAGGCATAGAAACAAGCACGTTTTAAAAACAAAGGCCAGTCATTTATTGTAACATTTTATTTGCAAACAGAAAAAAAAACACCTTGTTCTACAAATGTAAAAACTGAACTCTTTTGATAAAAAATATTTTTCCATATTGTCCATAACTTTTTCTCCTTCATTCATATTTGCAGTAGTGCTTCAGAGCCTCCGGCAGCTCCAGCCAGTCGATGGCCATCCTATGGACTATGTGCTTCTGAATGGCTTTCCTACACAAAGTCTGGAGGGAAGAAACTGGAGTGACAGGAAAATTAAGAAATTGTAGGATCATTGATGAAACACTGTACTTTCAACTGTAGTGATTTAATTAAGATGACTACTCACATCCGTACTCCACCTGCACGATCCGGACACACTTGGTAGCAGCAAAGACGTCCACCACCGCGTACAGAGGCTGGACAGCGGGGATGCCTTTGGCAGAAGCTCCCATGTCCTCGCCGTTGATGACTATGTGCATGTCAGCCAGGTCCTGTCCTTTAGGTACGTACAAAACTCCAATCCTGCTGCGTCTGGCTGTTGGAGGGAGAGCATTGGTCTTGTACAGGTCGTCCAAAATGTGGCTGTAGCGTCCAGGACGACTCCTTCCAACCAACTTATCTCTGGGTATGCGAATGTTCTCAATGTGTAAGTGAGAATCAGTGAAGAACGACTTTGGCTTCACGTTGTAGTCCTTATTCTCTCCATGTCCTTCAGGTTGATCTTCTCCCTCTCCTCCTCCCAGCCTATGACCACCCTCCTGGGCCTCCTGGACCCCAGGATCCTCTGTGATCTTGTTGTGGTTGCGAGTGATGGCGAAGATCCAGCTGTCACCGTGGTCTGTCAGGTCTGGGATGGAGTATTCCGGCACCACGTCTAAGCTCCTGGGGTCTCTGGCGGTCAGGCCGACGCGGAGGTGGCCACACCAGCCCAGCTCCTTATCTTCGATCTCTATGAGGAATATCTCACCCGGTGTGAGGGGGTATTTACTGAAACACACTCCATTGGCGAAGCTCTGCACCCGTGTGGCCTGGGTCCCTGAGTAGTCCAGACTGACATTGGTGCCGTGGATAGGGTGGAATTCCATGAAGTGGTCAGAAAAAGCCTCCATGTTTATGCGCAGGTTTTGAAGAGTAGAGAAAAGCAATCGCTCTGGTCAAGAAGTTTCCAGACAGACTGACACGGACTTCAGACTTCAGGCCTCCATGGTCTGGGTTTTACACTTTTGACTGTGTCACAGCACAGTCCTAACTGCAGCTCTGTCTGAATGTGTCCACTCACAGGCTTCTGGTTCAGGGCTATTTTTGACCGGCTGCATGTGTCACAGATGGTAAGGTATCTGTGTGTGTGTGTGTGTGTGTGTGTGTGTGTGTGTGTGTTTGTACTGCTGCCTTTGTGAGGACCACTCAAAGTTGTAGACCAATAAGTTAAAATTCCAGGAAGTCCAGAGTTCTGTAATTGGTCCTTATCTTCTGGACCTCTTCTGTTCCAAGGTAGCATGGACTACTGGTTTTAATAACATCCAGGTCTAGAGAGGAGACAGAGACTGGGTTCATGTCAGTCCTGGGTCTGATCTACTGTAACGAGCCATTTTTACAAACAATAATTATAAAGAGGTGAACTCAACAGGATTAACCCCCGACTGTCTGTTACTACTGACAACAATTGTTCAAATCACTGCAATCCATGGAGATTAGCAATTACATCTGGATTATTTTTGTTATAAATAATGACTTCAGCCATTTCCTGTTTAGCACAGCTGAACTGGTTACATACAGGCTGTAATTCAGTGAAATATGTGGTGTAGAGACTTAATTATAATTAAAATAATTTATCCATCTCTGCAACAAAAGTGTTTTCATAACATTTAATATATTTTTTACTAATTCAACATCACTGACATGAGCTGTGTCATAGAAATGTCCCAAATGCTCAAACCGACCACCTTTGGATATCCTGTGTGCAGTGTGGTCTGTGCCCCCCTTGATGGCGCTCCAGGTGACAGTGATGGAGGATGGTGACCATCTCTGAGCTCAGCTCCAGCCGGCGTTCCTCTGCCCTCTTCTTCATCTTTGTCATTTCTGGGTCTTAGTGTGATTCTTATCTAGGCCAAGATGGAGGCCAGAAATAGAGAGACATGGTGAGTGTTCATGGTCATTTATACTGAAGAAAAGATGTGACATACACACGTAGGAGGGGATGTCCAAAAGATTGACATTTAAAAAAAGAAAACTATTTCTCTCCATCTTAATTTCAGTCAAAGGTCAACTCCTAATTTTGGGGGGTTTCAAATACTAACAATAGACAAATAACAATTTAGCCTTCACAAGTTTAAAATGTTCTTTAGTTCTGCTATAACTGCCTGAAAAAGTTTGAAAAATATATAAAAGAGTCACACACACACACACACATTTACCGCAGCTATAATAAAATCCTAAATGGACCTTGAAACTGCTTAAACTGCTTGAACTCAGCTGGGGTAGAACTGATGCAACCACCAGGTTTCCTGAGTAGAAAAACTGATAAAAGAGTTGCTGTGATTACTTCATTTCCTCCAGTAAACTCTTGTAAATGTTCGTCTCCACACCTCGAAACCTGGACCAGAACCAGAACCTTTCTGTTCTCTTTCACGACACTCTCACTTATTTTTCACTCCTTGTGCTTTTATACCAGTGTGGTCCTTCTTTGTGTGTACATATGGTACTGTGTGTGTGTGTGTATAATGGCTGCACGTCTCATAATCTGGATTAACATGCTGCACTGCCATGCTTTCTATAATCTCTGTGGTTGAGCTGTGATTCTCAGCAGCACATGACACATCTGGATGCAGACAGTTCCAGGTTCAGAGGATCACACGTGTGAGGGAACGCAAGCAGAGATGCTCCTCGCTCCCTCCTCTGTTTGCAGCACAGATGGAGATGGAGAAGCATCAGAGGAGCAGCTGCTGCTAATTCATGATTTTCAGCTGAACTGAGGGTTTCTGGTGAGTGTAAACGCCTTTGCTCTGTGCTTCTGTCTGTGTTATTTTTGGAGTTTTTGTTTGGACCTTGTGGCTATTTCTTGTTCCGGGGGGTTTGTCCACATCACCTCCTCCCATTGCTGTTGTCACCCCCCACCCCCTATAAAAAGAATCTGAAGGTATTTTTAAGGAACTGAAGGAGTGAATGAAGAGCGAACATCAGCGGCTGTGTGAACCCAGCAGCTCCTGGTCACATGTCACCTGGTTGTTTAATTTAAAATATATATATTTTAGAAACCAAACCTTCTGTCTCCAGATTCTGTCATTCTAACCCTAACATTTTAGTAAATAATGAAGTTTTGGGTTTCTTTTCTCAACCCTTTTAACTTGTTCCCTGTGTTGTTTTGACAGCACTGAAGAACGACATGGTCAGTCTTTATCTGTGCAGAATCCAGAGGTTCCTAAAAATCACTACTGTGTCTGAGGTTAGTGGTGAAGTCAGGTTGGTACCTTGTATGCAACATCTGAATCCCACTCATTTGGAATGACCCCAATAAGAAAAATCAGCCAGAAGTGGCCCACATTTATATCCTGTTTGGGCTACATCTAACTGGTTTGTACTTCATATTTAATTAAACAAATATTTGATCAGGTGGCGCTTTGGCCCAGAATCAATGTCTTTGTCATTGGTGTGGAACTCCAGGGTTCATCTCCAGGGCAAGTTCGAATCCCAGTTAGGGCGGTTTGTACCTTCCAGTGGACTCACCACCCACAGGAAGGTTCAGGGAGGTTGGTACGGTGCAGTGTGATTTGGGTGGCGGTCATAGAGACTGCTGCCCCCGCGCCCTGGTAACAGATAAGCAGATGAAAATGGATGGATGGATGGAAGGAAATATTTGATGAGATTTAACATGGTCATTCACACCAGACAATATTTTTGGAGGAAGTTTTTGACACATCAAACAGAGTGATTCCTTCATTCCGGACCAGACCATCCAACATATAATGTTCCCACCACTGTCCAAATGGAAGTGTAAACACTTTTCTTCAGTCTGTTTGTACAGTGATTACAATCAATGCTGTCTGGCTCATCGTTGGTCTGTGAGCGTCATCCCCCTCAATCCCCCGCTTCATTTTGGGTGAGAGCAGATTAGTCAGGAGACACCAGCTGCTGTGGAATTGCTTGAAACAGTGCCATTTCTGCTGTGATGTTGTTATGTAAAAGTGACCAGTGAGAAAGACTGTGTTCAAACCCCACAGAGAAGGCGAACTTGACCCAAACAGAATGGGGGGAGGGGGGGTCTCAACTGCGCCTGTAAACCATAATTTTCACTTCCCACACATTTGTCTGGTTGAAAATAACACCTAAGCTTCTTTACTTTGTGGTAAATTGAGCTATTTTTAGCTGGTTTGTGAAGAATGTTGGCCGCATAATCAAAGTGTGAATTCACAGCTGACGCTACTGAAACACTGAAACATGAAAGAAAGAAAATATTTGGTGTCAGGATTGTTTACGTGTCTCATGTGAAACTGAAGAGACTTCAAGGTGGTCATGTGACCGGATAGCTGTTTCCTCTGCGGATAATATACACAAAGAAGAAGGTACTTTCTCAGGAGTATTACTGTCAGTGCTCGGTGTTAGAAGTGTGATTGAGTGAGTCAGAACTTCATGCATTTTTCTGTAGGAGGACCATTTCATCTACAGATTTAACATTTAGACTGTGACGGTGAAAGTAAATAACCTGTGAATTAATTATAACAACAACTTTCCGATGGGGTTCAGTCACATTTCTGGGTGTTTGAAATTTTTAGACCTTCTTTTTTTACATGTTTGTGACAGACATTTCAGTAGTTCATTTAGGGCAATTAATAAACCAAAACAACACCAAAGAAAGAAAGAAAGACAGAACCTCCAACTGTCTGGGGGAAAATTCTAGCAGATAACACATTTAAACCTATTTTGCTGTGTTTTTTTAGAATAGATTTTTCCTGCACCCCCTGATGTGTAGATTACCAGTGAAGCTGACTGTTTTTCCTCCTTCAGTGATTGTAGCTGCCTCCTCTGTGGGATGTCAACTTTGAGGAGACATGGCAGAGACTGAAGGAGATGAGGTCAGAAGAAGTGAGCCTGAAGAAAAGAGAGTTGAAGGTAAATGTTCGTCGTCTGGAGCTAAAAGGCATCTCCCCCGTGGGATAGTGATCCAGCTGACAGGAACAGAAGGAGAGTGGGACAATCTGGATGACAGTGAGCTCATCTTCTCTCTAGACCACCATGAGGACTATCCACCTATGTCTCTCTCCAGGGAGAGGCAGCTTTCCGTGGAGGACGACAGCAGGTTGCACTCCCAGTCTTTTCACGTCCCTCTCTCTCCTTCCTCACCTGGTTCTTTGGGGAACTGTTCCACCAGTAATCCTGGTTTCCTCTCACCAGGACCCTCCTCACCTACCCACAGACCCTTTTTAAGCCTGGTCAAGTCTCTCTCCACGGAGCTGGAGCTGAAAGAAGGTTCCACCCTTCGACCCAAGCCCCTCCTGAACCTCGTGAAGTCCATCTCCACTGAGATCTCCCGTTCAGAACCTGAGGTGTCGTCGTCCAAGTCGGACTCCCGTCTCAACCTTCACTTGTGGAAGCAGCTGACTCAGTCAAAAAGCCGCAGCAACGGCGACTCTCGGACTGCTCCCCCGTCTCCGGGCTCTCTCTCTCCAAATGGAGAACCTCTGAGAGGTGGCTTCTTTAAACTGGAACTAGAGGACACCAGGAGAAAGCTCTCAGAGGCTGTGCAGGAACCCCTGAGCAGCATGTTCAGCAAGATCATGAGAGAAGAGAGCGGAGGGAGCCCCAAGTACCAGTCCAAGATCCAGGGGTTCCACCAGCTCAGCTGCAAAAGTCTGACTCAGGAAGGCAGCGTGGACACGGTGTTTTCAGAGTCTCCTGTGAGGAACTCCATAAAATCAGAGGCTGAGGTGTTCGACTGGCCTCCGGTCAGGAGGTTCCACCACAGTTCCTGTCCTGTGTATCAGCACAGACATGACCAGGAGCTGGAAATATCTACAGATGGTGATGTAATGCAAGTAACATCCACAGGAGCACAGCGACAGATGAGCGGACCACCTGCTGGGCCTCAGGTGCCAGCTTTGAAAAAGACCTCACCTACTCCTCACCCTCTGCCACACATGAGTTTATTCTGTGTGGGAATGTTGTCCTACATTTATTTCATTCTTCCTCTCAGTCCATACCTCTCTGGCATGGTTCTGGGGTTAGGGCTGGGCTTCTTGTTAGGTCTGCTGCTCATCAGGGTGGGTTCCTGCAGGTCTCACTGTCTGGGCTCTGAACTTAAACTGGAACAGTCTCTGCTCGGGGAGAAGATCCAGACAGACGGTGTTTTTGGGCCTGAACCTGAGATCCTCAAGGTAAATCACCGAGTGGTCAAAGGTCAAAATGTGTAGTACTAACTGTTTCACTGCATAGTTCAAGGAACTGTTTTTCTATTCCTAACATTCTGGGGAAAAATGCTACAAACAAACCAGTCTTCCTGACAGTAGAACCAGAGCAGCTGCACAGATGCTGAAAAAACTTATTAAAAACCCACAGACCCACTCTTTATCTCTGTCTTGCTGCTGAACAAAGTTGAATTGTTGTACAACGGCATAAAGTGTCAGAAATGTCATCGAAGCTTTTATCCTTTTTAATAAGCAGCGGTGGATGCAGCAGTAATTACTGCTGCTGTCCTCCTGGGGTTGACAGTGAGCACAGTTAAAATCCAGGCACTGTCAGCACCAGAGGCAATTAGTGGAAGATGGAGGCAGGAGGAGGCTGTAATTTGTCAGTGTGTGAAGCAGACTGGAGATGGAGACAGTCGGAGGGACAACAGCAGCTCCTCTGCCTCTGTGTGGGCCTGTAGAGGCAGAGCATGTTTTGTGTCTCATTAACTGTCCAGATAAGAAAATGAAAACAATAACATCATTTAATGACATGACCTATTGACTTTTGGTTTCTCCACAACAACCACTGGTCTTCTGTCATTTCAGGGCTGGATGAATGCGGTCCAGGATTACGACCCAGACACCTACCATACAGCCCAGACTCACTCCGTGTTTGCCACCTTGGAGGGTTCCTGCCTCCGCCTGGACTCCCCCCGCATCAACATCAGCCGCAGGGCCACTTGTGATGAGAGAATCCCAGAGGCCACTTTTGTCCAATCGCGCTGCTTCCAGCTCACACACAGCAAAGTATTGATAAGAATTTACTAACTTCACGTCATCACCAACAATACACATAATGGGGGGTGCAGTCCAGTCAGACGTACTGGGAATACTCTGAAGATTAGGAATTACACAGCAGCCACAATGTTTTCTTTTTTTAATTCTCACCAGGGGCAGACTATTTGGTTGGATTTTCCTCTCATTTTTTTCCTCATAGGTGTTTTTGCTTCCAACCATGTTGGCCCGCAAGAGGACTTGGAATCCAAAATATCCCATCTGCCTCCAACTGGCCTCAACAGGAGAGTCGCAGGACCACGAGGGGGGCATTTTGAAGGACAATGCAGAAGAAGAGTCCGATGCCCCGCCCACAAACCCAAAACAAGGCTTCTCTGAACCCTTTAACAAATTCCCGACCACACTCTACCTGTTCGGCCGCACAGGACGAGAGAAGGAAGAGTGGTTTCGTCACTTCCTGTTTGCATCTAGCAAGAATCAAAGGGAAAAGGAGGCGGAGACTGAGAGGCCAGACAGATGTGGGTCCAGATCTGGTGAGGCAAATGTTAATGAAGCATTAGGGATGAGAAGGCTGCTATATCAGGAGTGTGTGTGTGTGTGTGTGTGTGTGTGGATTAGTATGGATCGCACGCACAGACTTGGTGCGTCATCAGGCTGATCCTTGTGAAGGAAACACTCAGACATCACTCACCCCGACACTAACTGCTGACCTGGGCTTTAGGGAAACAGTCAGATTTAGTTTTTTGTTTTTTTTTCAAGAACCTATTCGTTATGCCTTTACTGGCCACAGGGTGGCAGATGTTTAAAAATGCATGTTCTTTATGATTCTCCAGGTGATCCTGGATCATGTTCAATCGCTAAAGACAGCTCCAGCAGCAGAGTGGGCAGCAGCGACGATGACGCTCCCTGTTCCACACCCGCAGCCCCCTCAGTCCCTGCAGCTCCGCCCACTCACACCTCCAGCAGCACCAGGAACCCTTCGCTGCTGGACTACCACAGCTACATGACTCGTCTCCTGGCCACAGAGGAGACCAGCAGCCCTCTCTCTACTCCAGGAGGGGGCAGCAGCGCCGTGACCAGCCCCACTGTCAGAGAGACCACTGTAAGTCATGCACACACGCAGCTGAGTTAATGGACCGAAGGTGTCATCCATGACATGTTAGAGAGGAGATAATTGTCATTTCTTACTTATTATTCACATTTCAGTGCACATGTGACCTCCTGGAGCATCCTGGGAACAGTCCGATGGCCTGGGCTGACGCTCTCATTGGCAGAATCTTCTGGGACTTCCTGAGAGAGAAAGCCTGGGCTGATTGGGTATCACAGAAGATCCAGAAGAAGCTCAACAAAATCAGAGTAAGAAAAGATTGAATGAAAAGAACATTTGAATTTCCAGACAGTGAGATTATAACCAAATTACCTTCAATGATTGAGCTCAGTCTAAGATGATTCCAATTAAGAACAAGATAAATACATTTTTTGTTAAAAAAATGTTGAACAAAATGTTGTCAGTGGTCCTGTAGTAGTTCTACCTTAAGATCTGGAGTAAAATAGGTGTTTTTATAAACCAATAAATAAAAAATAAAAAGAATAAAATACATTCTAGGGATTTATAGAAAATGATTTTTGTTCTTTTTCCCTGCAGTTGCCTTATTTCATGAACGACCTGACCCTGACTGAGTTGGACATGGGGAACTCCATGCCACACATCACTGCTGCCTCTAAACCAGTGCTGAATCACAGAGGTGAGAGAACAGGTCACATGCATGATTGTAATGGACACTATAGTTGTTTGTACAAAATATTACAATTTTACTCTGAATAAAAATAAATCTCACAATGAAGCCAGAAAGTCCATTGCAAAAAAAAATCTTTAAATGTAGACCACAGATGAGAGACTTGTGTCCTGATCTCGCTCCACAGTCCTTATGTTCAATCTGCAGTCTGCGGTGGTTAAGCTCTAGATTTGAGGATTTTATGAGGGGGCAGGGGAGCTCATTGGATGTACTACCCTCTGCAGGTCTGTGGGTGGAGCTGCAGCTGGTGTACACTGGTGCTCTGCAGATGACCCTGGAGACCAAGTTCAACCTGGCCAAACTGGGCAAAGAGGGAAGTCAGGAGACGGAGAGTGGGACTGAAACTCATACTTTACGGTGAGAACACACACACACACATACACACTTTTGAATTCTTGCAGATTTGTTTGGCTGCCCATTAAAGTGACCAGTCCAGTGGCCTGAGGGTGAAAATGACCTTTTTGCCTTATTGAAACTCCTGGTCACACTGGTCACACTGGTCATACTGGTCATACTGGTAAATACATGCAGTGAATAACAGTGGGAAACTCAGGAATTTGGCCTGTGCTGGCTGATAATCTGTTTAGATCAGAAAGTTGAAATGTTAGAAATGCAGGCTGACTTCAGATGAACTCTCAGCACCCGTGGGGTCAATTAGCCGCAACTAGGGGGAGATGCTGTCCAATCACAGCGCAGGAAGCCTGTAATCATTTTAACGTCATTAAACTTAATATATTTCTATGACCACCACCTGATTGGATAACAAGAATTATGCAAAATCTAATACAAATACAGAAGGAGGTTCTAAGGAAAAATACAAATGCAATCTTAATCCTATGTAAATAAGCAATTCTATTTTATCCGTTAACGTTTTACTAGGCTAACATGCTAAGCTTTATGTTAAGCTATGAAGGATACACACTAAGACAATTAGACAATTTGACAACAACCTTTCTTATCTACTACATTTCAATCTGAACTCTTCTTCAGTGGTGTGTCCATCAGTGAGGAATTCACTGATGGACACTGATTTCTGTAAAATTCTGGAGGATGACCTTTGACACCAGGTTATGACCTGCTTCTTTGTCTGGTCTCAGGACAGCAGTCCACTTTTTTTTAAAAAGTTTGGTAAAATGTACATTGCTTAAATAAACACATAAAATTAACCACAATAAAAGTAAACATAAATTTATGATGATAGAATGAATCAGTTGTTCCCTCTCTGTCAGTGATTAAATACTAGGTGCATGTTTTCTCCAGTATATGAACTTACAGTCATGTGTTAATCATTGTTATTATTGTTGTTGTAAAGTATTTTAGTATTTGAATTTTAGTTCTCTTGCATACAATCTCAGATGTAAGGATGAATCCTGATCCATTAAAGAATGAAATAAATCTCTAGTCTCATCTCAGGTCTATATTTATTTCTCCATCTTTAATATTTCCAGTCAGTACACCATGGCTGCTGCAGCAGCAGCTCTGTAGACTCCTCTTGTCCGACTGACTTGTCCATCTGTCCTATCCTGACATACAGCAGCAGTAGAACCGTCCTCAGTGTGTTGGCAGACAGTGATGAGGAGTCGTCCAGCGCTGGTTCGTCTGATGAGGAGGAGCTTCTTCCCTCTGAGCCTCAGACTTTAGTCGGGGAGAAAGGACTGACGGCGACAACTGAGAGGTAAGTGGTGACGAGACGAGTTTGATCGACACCAGTGGAACTAAACTGAAGAAGATACTGCTGCTGATGTTCTCCCAGTCTGTGTGTGAAAACCGAGCACAGGGCTGCTGTACACAGACAGTTTTCATCCCATATTCCTACAGTGGGATGGTTTTTAAACTGTGTCATAAAATCCTACATTTATTATAAAATCTGAAAACTGGAAGACCTGATGTTGTTGGACAGGTTGTAACCACAAAGTGATAATTACCAGCAGTCACATTGTATAAATAGTTTTGTAAATGCCACTGCTGTCATGCTGCCCCCCCACCCCCACCCTCACCTGCCCCATCTGTGTTGTGAGGACAGGGCCCACATCACACTCCAGATGGATTTCATTTACATTTCAGCTCCATATTCCTCCTCAAATGTTGACTTCCTGTCTGAAAAATGTAATCTACAGACAAACACCAGATTTAAATCCTCCTCTTCCTCCTTCATCTCTCCTCCTCTGCTTTCCTCACAGTGGAGGCAGAACTGGGAGGAAGATTTTGAAATTCATGGACAAAATCACCAAATCCAAGTATTTCCAGAAGGCCACAGAGAATGAGTTCATCAGGAAGAAGTTTGAAGAGATGTCCAACACTCCGCTGCTGCTGACCGTGGAGGTCCAGGAGCTCTCAGGAACCCTGGTCATCAACATCCCTCCGCCGCCCACTGATAGGATATGGTAAAAACAAAAACAAATATAAAACACACGTCGTCAGACATCGTCAGAGCATCACAAACAAAAAACATCTTCAGACCGTGTTGAAAACATTTACTTTCAGTGACACACCTTGATTCTTTTGGCAAAATTGTTAGTCGAACACTTGCACTTTGCTGGAGTAAATTACTGAAATGGTAACACAAAGGAAACACGTTAAAATCTGAAACAAATTTTTCAAAAAGAAAAAAATAATTTGCTTCTTAAAAAGTCTAACCAAGATACAGTAGCTACAGAAAAGTCAAAGAGTTTAAAAACTATCTAGCTGATATTTTTGCTAGTTTTTCAAAAAACTCAAGTGAACTCAAATGAAAGCAAAGAGACAAAGCTTCAATAAGGATTCCAACCCAAGTACTGATCTCTGCTGCAGGTACAGTTTCTGTGTTCCACCTAAACTGGACCTGCATGTACGGCCAAAGCTGGGGGAGAGGGAGGTGACCTTCTGCCACATAACAGAGTGGATCGAGAGGAAGCTGCAGGACGAGTTCCAGGTTCATACATGTTTATACTTTTAAAAACAGTTTATATATTTAATGCTTAATAGTTTCAAGTAGTTTATTATTAATTGTCTATTGATTTTGTTATAAATATTAATGTATACATATCTTTTTCTGATTGGTTCCAGAAGGTCTTTGTTCTGCCAAACATGGATGACATCTACCTACCCCTGATGTATTCTGGGATGTCTGTGGACTCCGCAGTGACCACAGAGAAGATTCCACCTGAGATCCACAGGACAGAGTCAGAGGAGGAGCGAAGCTGAAGAGAAGCAGAGGATGAACGTCAACAACGTTATCTTTTATTGATTTGTTCACGTAAGTGTGTATATATTCAACAACTGTGTTTGCTTGTCTTTGGATAATGGTTGATTAATAAAGCCCTTTAATAATCACCACAGTCCATGATCACATGACCTCTATGTTACTGAATACAACCTCCTGGTGACCAGCCGGTCTTGTTCATACTGTTGAACAAACCTGTCAGCTATGTGTCAGAGAGATACACAGAGACAGACAGAGGGAGTCCTCAGGTGACAGCCGCTGTATTCTAAGGGCTAACATCTCTGTTGTCAATGATCCATGTAGCACACCTTTTATTACACTTGCTGAGATAACATATCGTATTGTGTGTTTTAATACTTCAATGCTGCAGAAGCTCTCTTCCTGATAATGGGACAGAACAGACTGCAGGCTTTCCTTCTCAGCCTGAAGGAACCCCCACTAAGTAGGTCACCACCCCTGAATCTGGTCCAGCAGCATATTTTGTCCCTCTAATTAAATGTTTTCACCGACGTATACAAGGTGTACAATACCTGCTGTTGTTGACATTCTGTGTATGATGACAGAACAGTAATGAGGGAAGTCTGGGTTTCTGCAAAAGAAACTGGGATTGACTGTTCTGTGATTCTATGGTGTAGCAGTTATCACACCCTCCTTACCCGTCTGCCTTACACACAGAAGGTCCTGGGTCCGATGCCCAGTGGAACCATATACAGAACTTGATCCTCCACATGTTAGTTGTTCTGGATAGAAGCATCTGCTAAATGCACAGATGTAAACAAAAACAGATCTTCAAAATCACTTACTGTAACTCTGAACTAATAAAGGCCAATGCACAGGTTGACCTTACACACACACACTCACATTTCAGGCTAATAAATGTGTCACGTGAGCCTAACACACACTTACTGGTAATTCTTGCACATTCCAGCAGTTTCCTGGACTCGAGGTCTATCAAACACACAAACACTTCAACACCTAAACAACCTTTATGTACCCGTCTTTTCCCGCTAGTCGCTCCCTTCTGACCAGTTAGTCAGCTCGTGTTTCCTGGTCCACACCATAAACCCTTTATCGCAGCTGCCTAAGTAAACAGAGCAGTCAACCAGGTCCCTGACAGTGTAAACAAAAGAGTCACCCAGGTGAAAAGTCAGACAACTTGACCCTGAACATAAAATATTCAAAGGTATGTAAGGTGAAAATATATCTTGGTAGAGTTGAAGTATTTTTGTCATTGCTGTTCATCTGTCATGTGACTCTACAGCAGCAGGTCGGCTGAAGGACTCACCTCAGTTCACGCCCACTTCCATCTAATAATTCAGCCCACTCCCATCCACTCCTTCAGCCCACTTCCATCCATTCATTCAGCCCGCCTCCATCCATTTATGCAGCCCACTTTCATCTAATAATTCAGCCCACTTCCATCTAATAATTCAGCCCACTCCCATCCACTCCTTCAGCCCACTTCCATCCACTCATTCAGCCCACTTCCATCCACTCATTCAGCCCACTTCCATCCATTTATTCAGCCCACTTCCATCTAATAATTCAGCCCTCTTCCACCCATTCATTCAGCCCACTTTCATCTAATAATTCAGCCCACTCCCATCCACTCCTTCAGCCCACTTCCATCCATTCATTCAGCCCACCTCCATCCATTTATGCAGCCCACTTTCATCCATTCTGAAGTAGATAAATGAACCTTTCACCCTTCTCCTAAAAACCCCTTTCCTCTTCGTTGTTCTAGTTGTCTGCTTGGTGTTTCCATCCATCCATTTCCATCCATGCTTTCATTCATGCTTATCTGTTACTGGGTTGCAGGGGCACCAGTCTCCATGTCCGCCACCCAAATCACATTGCACCAACCTCCCTAACCGGGATTCAATCTTGCCCAGGAGGTGACCCCTGGGGTTCCACACCAATGACAGAGACATTGCCTCTGGGCCGAAGCACCACTGCTTGGTGTTTAGGATTGTGAAATAAAACTGTGAAGTCCAATGAGACAAATGAGACAGGTGGATGTGGGCTGCAGTCCATGTTGATTCATTCTTCACTGTACAGTGGGCCACACTGCTGAATAAGAGATAAACTGCTGTTGACTTTAAAAACACTTTATTTAACTCAGTACATATAAAAAGTACTTCTGTCCCCCACACCAGTACATTTGATCAGAATACTCCCAGCTGTTTCAATAACATACATTACTTGTAAATATTACATACTGTATTTATAAATCATACTGTAAATATATACATATGTATTGCATCATCTGTACACACTCACAATAATCTACAATATTGACAGGCCACAGAATCTGAAGGAAATGTTCTCTACACCTGGTGACACCTTTGTCCTAGTGGGACATGTATGTCCAACATCTGGCCTGGGGACCATTCCTGGTCAGAGGTAGGTTTAATGTGTCGTACATATATTTTTAATAAAACTAATAATTATTACATGTAATTCAACATTTTCCAAACCATGAAAGACGTTTGGACACCCCTGCCCCAGACTGACCCATGGGACTGAATGACCTCTGACCTCTGTGTTAGTTCTGGTCTGTTTAAAAAGACAGCGTCAACCTCTTTGAGTTGACTAAAACCTGCTTCACAAAGACTCACTTTCTGGAGCTGTTTTTCTACAAATCTGTTCCAACAAACAGAAAGTCTCTCATTTAAAAGGCATGAATCTGAACAGACTGATTCTGGTGCAGATTTTCGACCATCCCAGCCTCGAATGGTTGATTCTTCAGCAGGTTCTTTGTGGCCAGGGCTGCCTTGCGGGTCATGGTGGTGCAGCTGGCCAGGATCTCCTCTGTTCTGGGTCTGGGGGGGACTCTGGGGGCCTGGTCGCTGCTCTTGGACCTCACTGATTCAGCGTCACTCTGGTCAGAGACACTGGGATTCGGGCTTGCAGTGGCTTGGCGTGAAGGAGCAGCAGACACAGGGCTCTGGGACAGGGACTGGCTGGACCCACTGGAGGCGGAGAAGTCGCTTAGGCTGGACTCGCCGCTCACGCTGTACTTACGGCTGTCTGAGGCGGAGGCAGCTCTCTCAGGACGAGCCTGCGGCCAGGTCTCAGACAGAACATCCAGAGACTGGGCCTTGTGGATTTGCCCAGGGACATTTGGGCCACTTCTGTAGGGGGCTGCAGAATCTCTCAGTGGGTGGGTTTCTTCACTGATGGTGGGTGAGTATGAAACCTGGAGGTCTCTAGTGGGGCTGGAACTCAGGTTGAGTGTGGAGCTGTGCATCTTCCTCTGCAGGTTGAAAATCCCAACTCGTGGGTTGTTGTAAGGTTTCAGGTACATGGAGGGGACGTAGCCCACTTTACCGTTGGACCTGCAGACGGACAAACGGCTGGATGTTACTTTAATGACAGACAAAAGGTCAGCAGAAAAGAAGGTTTTCTCAGAGATGACCCTGGAGTTGTACTGTTGTACTGGCAGTACCTGATGAGCCACCAGCCGTTGTCGGACTTCTTCAGCACCTCCACCACTGAGCCGATGGACACGGACACTTCATCTGCATTCTTTGTAGAGTAGGACCTCACAGCACAGTACAGAGAACCTGCAGCAGCAACAGACGCAACAGACCACTGAGCATCAGCTTTATTCAACAACAAGGAGGCTGGAGTATAGTTACTGCACCATCTGGAGTATAGTTACTGTACTGTCTGAAGTATAGTTACTGTACCGTCTGAAGTATAGTTCAATATTTAAAGTTTTTAACAACTAATGCGTTAGTTTGCTGATGATCATTGTACTATTCTTACTAATTTGTTTTTAACTATGCTCACCTCATTAAGATCTGTTTTTAAAAAAGGCCAAAATGTGAAAAAGCTCACCTCCGGGCTGGAATCCTTCATCATCATCCTCTCCATCCAACAACTCCAGGTAAGGAGCAGGAAACCAGGCCAAACGTTTCTCCTCGTTTTCAACAAACCACCAACCTACAAAGATAAGAACCACAGTGAATGAGTGTGAGTTTGGATTCAGTTTAATATTACATTTGTCAAAAGTGTTTTCAGGAGGATGAGACCAGAACTTGATTTCAGTGGACGGCTGACCTGCTGGGTCTTTAATCAAAACATCCACGTTCTCGTCCACGTCCACCTTGAATGGACGGTTCTTGGTGTCCTTGGTCTCATAGGCAGCGATGCAGCGGTAAGTCTGGGAGATGAACGGGTGAGTGATGTTTCCACCCTGTCGGCCGGAGAAGCTGGCACCATCAGATGATCCATCACGCATGTCAGCCATCAGGATCATGATGCTGCAGGAGACGGAGAAGAGTTGAAATGTGCACTTTAATTAAATTTGTCAGAGAACAATTAATTAACTTCAACTAAACTTAAAACTTCAGCTCAGGATTTAGCTCGAGGTGAATTTTAAAATTAGAAAGTTTTAATTTGAAATGTGAAACTGAGCCTGTGATCCAGTTTCTCTGATCTAAACCCTGAGCTGAAACCTGACCCAGATCTCTGTCTGAAGTCGGAATTCTCTGAGCTCCACTTTTCCACACGTACCTGTTGTTGGTGAAGTCCGACTGCAGGTCCTGTTCTTTTGGCAGGAAGAAGTAAGTGACCTCTGAACTCCGGGTCACGTCCTGCTCACACTTGAACAGTTTGTCGCAGTAATTCTCCAGGAACCTCATCCGGAGCACGGAGCGCTTGGATCCTTTCTGAGGCATGCTGCTCTGCCTGGCCTTTCCTGGAACAATAGTCAGTGGAGAACGTTTTAATTCTGGGAAACTTTTCTAACCATTCTCAGGATTCAGGATTCTGTTTTGGGTTTTTTTTGGTTAAATTTATAACAGTGAAGTAAGGAGTCCATTGCTTCAAACATGAACATTTGTCATCATGACAGGAAGCTAACAGGACAACTTTTTTTTTTTTCTGTACATAATTTGAATTTTCTCACCTCTAAATTTGGGAATAACTCTCTTGTTTTTTTGGAAAGGGTTGAGGGTTGGGAACTTCTTCTTCAGGTCCCTCTGTTGAAGAAAGACAAACTAGTAAATATTTGTATATTTAAACACAGCAGATTCAAAAAACAATTCCAGAATACCACATGTTTTCTTACATGGAATCTCTGGAAGTCCCCAAACGACCTGTAGATGATCAGTTCAGTGCCATCGGACCAGGCGACGCTGACCATGAAAGTCTGGAAAGAACACAGCACCGTGGAGTTAGAGACGTTTCTAAGCTGACATCAGTCGTTCCTCTGACTGGAGTCCAGGACGCTGTGAAAGAGCTCACCTTCAGTTTTGGCGCGGCCTTGTGAACGGCTCCGATGATGCGGGCGGTGATGATGAATCGATCCTCTCCGGCCATCGTCTCTGTGTCTGCGTGTTTGTCTGTCTTTGGTTTCTGCTGAGGATGAGGATGCTGTGAGGTTCTCCGACCCTGCCTGTTCTCTGACTGACTGTTGACGACTGGCCCCTGATTTATACTCCTGCTGGCTGGAAGGAGGAGGAGGAGGAGGGGTAGGAGGAGTCCAAAAATTACCTGAGGCCACGGAGTTTAGGAGTACGTAAACGTGTATTTCGAAGGTGTGGCAGCACCAGCCGCAGCGGCGGCAGCGGCGGCAGCAGCCATAACTACCAATAGAAAGATAACTTCCGGCAGGAAAACCTTTAAGAGAAATATTTGTTGTAATATGTTGCCAACTAGGCTAAAAATGTCAGGAAAAAAAAATGTCAGGAATACATAATCAGACTAGCTCACGTAATTAGTCTTATCAGGAAATTGCCCAGAATAAACAGAACTCTGACTTCTCTGAATTCCCTCTAAAACTGAGATGTAAGCCGCTGGGTGCCAGATGTGGGCCACGTTAGCACCTACACTGTGGTATGTTAGTCCAAAACCCACTGCCATAAAATGAAAAGTAGAAGGAATTAATCTATGAAACACTCTTAAAATCAATCTGTGATTTTTAAAATATGCCTCCACTGGAGGGCGCCAGAGCAGCCCGAGGAAGGCACAAAACAAGGAAATAGAAAACAGGTGGCGTTTATTGTAACTCATTATCCTTGATGAACTGATGGATTCGCTGTACAGTGAGGAAATTGAATGACTCAACTACTGCAGTACAACACAGGTATGAGAGGAGAAGTAACTACGAGAATATTAATCTAGAGCTTGGATTGTGGACCTTGTGAAGGACATTAAAACCAATATTTATTCTGGCCTGTGTAGCAGTTAGCTAATTTGTGTGTTCTGATTTTTATCATTTGACTTTGGAGTTAACCTGAACCTCCCAATCAATGCTTTTAATGTCTGAGAACTTTGATGTTTTCTCTCTCCAGACCTTCTCTATCACCTCCACCTTTAGTCCTTTAGAAACGTTTGACCCATGACCAGGACAAACACGTGAAAACCAGAAGCCCCTTCATGTGTGTCCTTAACATGCTGCTCCAGTAGGACACTCCCTAACAGGTGGTTTACCGTCCTACGTGACCAAATATTCAAAGTAAACAAAATGAAGGATGAAACACATGTTAGAAACAAAAGTCTTTACTATTTCACCTGGCCCACACACACAACTGTAAGTGAAACTCATTTTATTTCATAAATGTTTAATATTCTGACCAAATTTAGAAAAGTTGCTAGAATGTAAAAAGTCAAAAGTTTAGACTATGCTAACAGGGGGGGCTCCATATTTCCCCTGTTAGCTTCCTGCTAGCTCCCACATCCTCCACTCTCATGACTAAATCTTTTTATGCACGTGCAATAGCACTTTGGACACTTGTCATCTGGCAGCAATATTTCTTATCCCTAAATTGTGTGGAGAGGTGTGTGTGTGTGTGTGTAATATGATAATAATTTGACAGCAGGCAGGTGTTTCTTCAAAGTGTGGATTTCTTCAGAGGGCTGCAGTTGGAGGAGGGGGGGAGGGGTGCGGGGAGGGGAGTGTTGGGGGTTCTTCCTGTTTTCATCAGGTGGCTGTGGACCCACAGACCTCCTCTGAAGCCATGCCAGGATTTTAGACACTTTGGCACAAACACAGTCCACGTGTGGGTGGAGTAAAAGGTCAGGACAGTCCAGTCTGGAGCGTGACCTGAACAGGTGCCGGCACCTGGGTCTACCATGCTCCCCCCCGCCCCCCCCACCCTTGGGTCCAGGATGGACCATGACTCTGAGTTTTGTCTGTAAGGACACAGACGGAGTCTGTGGCTAATAGTAAACATTCAAATAACATGAATTAAACACATAATAATATAATAATAATAACATAAGTTTAAAAGATGTTTTAAACAGATTTTAAATCCAACAAGAAGTCCAGCATTTTGACTTTGATGTTTGGTCCATTTTGACGTCCTGTACTTTTAATTCATTTTTATTCATGTTTATGCTGTGTCCCTAAAGGTGGTTTTACATCTCTGGACTGTAAACTGTTGTTTTATTGCCAGCTGCTGCGTTGAGTGGTCTGCTGACCAGGACATCAAGTCCGCTCTCTGACATAATGAGTTTGTGAGGATCAGCTGAGAGATGATTGAATGACTTCCTGACAGCATTTGGCTCAGCGTTGAGACACGGAGAAAAAGAAATTCCAGACTTTCATCAGAGCGAGGTGTTTGGTCATTTGGTTATGTTTGTTCTGGCTTCAACAATCACGGCATTGTTGAGAGGATTCCTGGAAACTGATAGGCAAGGCGCCAGATGAGTTCTGCAGGAACACATTTTTATTTACATGCTGGTAAAACCACATAGAACTGGATTGTCCTAGAAAAGTTGATAAAAGACAGAGAAAGAGAGAATATCACACAGACGAGAAGAAGAGCTAATACCGTCCTAGTAACAACGATGCCACAGTTACATTAAGTTGACAAGGTACCAACACCATTGGCTGGAACGCAGGCTCAAACCTGTACAGAGCTTTTTATATAAAGCTAGCTGCTCTAAGTTTGAAGTATTTTCTTAATTTTTACCTCTCTAGTTTATCCGTGCACACTTCCCGACAGTCTTTAATGTATTTTATCTCAGAGTGATGACTCTATAAAACCTGTTTATAGAGGATAATAAAAACCTGATTAGGTTTTATGTTGTAACACGACAGATGGTCCTGTAACACTGTAGACCACTGCCTCTGTAACCCTACAGACCACTAGCCCTGTAACACTACAGACCACTGGTCCTGTAACACTGTAGACCACTGGCCCAGAGGCTGTGAGGCTGACTAAAATAAAAGTCAAGAAAAGAAAGAAAATCTCAGTCGGTAGAAGAACTGCTCTGAAAACTTCTGGAATCATCTGTGACTGATCAAATGATCAGCTGTTGAAGAGCATTTGGATCTGGACGTCTGGACACTGGTGGGTTTTATCCTCTGTTTGTATTCAAAGTGGGTCTTCATTACCAAACAAGGAAGTAAAAAAGGCATCCTCCCGTCTTTGTTTTAATCTGGAAGAGCGCGGCGTGTTAATAAGTGACTGGTTTGAATCAGTGTGAAACAATGCTCTGCCTGATCAGTAGGTGGAACTGAGATTATGGTAAGACAAAGGAGGAAAGAAAAAAGGAACAAAAAAACAAATGAGTAACCGTAAGAATTTCCCAGATTGCAGTCGGATGAAGGCGAGTTTATGGTCGGCATCACTGGCCCTGGCAAACAAGGACGACTCCTCCAGAAAACTGAGCAGTTGAAGGAGGCAGACAAATGTATGGGTAATAAAATCTTTTTACTGTCTGAATGAATAACACCTTTGAATAAACTTTTTTTTCCTTCAACGTTTGCATTATATTTAGTTATCCATAATGCCATTCATTCATGCTACTCATGCTTCTAGCTTTACCTTAGCTAATTTAGCTTTTTTAAGCTGATTTAAACCTATTTTGCTAACTTAGCTTAATTTTACAACTATTTTTCATACATATTTTACCTATTTCCTTTCAGTTTTTGAGAGAACTTCAACTTTGGACATCTAATAGACACTTTGGCAAATTATTTTACCTTATTTCTAACTTTTTTTAAACTTTAAAAAAAAAGTTTATTACCAATTCTTTGGTTCCTGTTTAGCCTTTTATTCCTAATTCTTTGAAAATCAACCCTTCTGTGATTTTTATATAAAACTACCTGCTCTAAGGTTGAAGTATTTTCTTCCCTCCCCGGTTTATGTCTGTAACTGAACTGAGTTTAGTTTAGGAGTAATTGTCATTGACATCTGTTGTTTTTACTAACCTTCAAATGTTCTTTGCTCCTTTTCTGTCTAAACTGCACTATTTAGACTGTCTAAATTGTGTATATTTTTTTGTGTATTTTGTGTTTAAGTTTTGTTCATCTTTCACTCTCCATAATTATTTATACTTTTCAGCTGGCTTTTATTAGGTCCAACATTGTGAATATCTCTCTCCTCTTTTTAGCTTTTTGCTATTTTTTAATTGATGCTTTAAACCCTGACACGTTAACATAAGAATTTGTAGTGCATTGATCTATTCTGATCTGAAAGGGTTGGCGAGCAGAGCAGAGTTGACAGTTTAATTGAATTACTGCTGTCGAGTACCTACGTCTAAAGTTACCTTTATGATCATGGCATCTGAGACAGACGTGATTATGATCAGGAATGTTTTCTTCCCAGGAACAAGGTTTCTCATCACACCGAGGAGGATGATCCTTTTCAGGAAAAAGGCCTGGTCGTTGAACCCACACACAGAGGTCAGAGGTCAGTGCAGACGTGACATCGGTGAACACTCCTAATCACACGTAGACAAAAGGTTTGTGGTCCATAAAAAAAAGCATTAACTCATTTAACGCCGCCTGCAGCAGCAGTTGGAACCAGTCCAGGGTTTTCCCACGTCTTGATAACATTTATGAGCGTTTATGAGAGTATATGAATTTACAGCCCAGGCTTCCTTACTGTACAAGGATTCATTCTGGACTGCAGCCCATATTTGGTCCACAGGGTAATACAGCTGGGTGAGTCCACACAAGGGTGGATACAGGACTGGATGTGACCCACAAATGATGTCTCAAAAGTGGGCTCTCTTCTGGCCCTGGAGATGTGAAAAAATAGGGAACTGACCTTTAACCCATCTGGGCGGCTTCTTGTACTTTGGGCCAGAAAAGCTTTCTATGATGTGGGCCATATTCTGGGTACAAGACGTGGTAATATTTTTTGAATGTGTTTTGAAAAAATATTATTACTCTCTGTTTACAATATAATACTGTATTTACAAAAACGTCTTTTACTAAAATATAAATATCACTTGATGCTAATAATATCTTGTGTAACGACTGCTCCTTCTTCGCACAGGGACAGCATTGTCCTTTAGTTTAATTTCGTTTCTTTTTGTGTGGTTTTGGTTTCATGTCACGTCGCACAGGAGTTGTTCCTGGATTAACTCGGACCAAATTAAACCTGATGCTTCTGTCAGGAAACATCTGTGAGTCAACACACACCATGGGCGTGTAAATAGTGGTCACACTGGTCCATTTACAGCAGGCCATGTAACAGTGGAATATCCTGAATGCAGGCCCTTGTTATAATGAAGCGGTAAGTCTTCGTACAGTGAAAATT